CCCTGCTACTTTGCCAAAGTTTTGAATCAGCTTGAGTAATTTGGGAGTGGAGTCTATGGGATTCTTTAAATACAAGATCATGTCGTCTGCAAAGAGGGAGAGTTTTATTTCTTCTTTCCCTAAAGGCTTCTTATGTATATTCCTGGTTTGAACCCCTGCCAAAGGTGTTCTGGCTGGGAAATATTGACCCTTTGCTGCCCTGTAGCAGAGAACCTTCTAGATATTCCCACTGAGGCCTAACCTCCACCTTGCTCTTTTTCATGTGTGTTAATCAGTTGTGACTTTTTCATTTCAGGTAGCTTCCTGAAACTGAACTCATCATTGAGTTCTATCATTTAAACTTGTCACCTCACCAATTGATCTGTATACTTCAGTCAGTTTGCAGGTCCCAAACCAATGGTTCTCCTCTCAACACCACCAATAAAATGGATTAATACATAGTGGGATGAACAGACAGATAATGATAAATCAAGTATAAAAAAATATTCATGGTAGAATTTGGGTGGCTTGTATATCAATAATTCACTGCAAAGTTCTTTCAACTTCCTCCTGTGTCTCAAAATATTCATAATACAATGCTGAGAAAAGTTAATAATTTTCAGATTGGAAGAGAAAACTTTTTCCACAATGCTGCCTTATGCCTGAGATAGTCCAGCTGCTAAAAGATTTACCACATAAATCCAAGCCTATTAATTGATGACAAACTGGCCTAAGATGATGTGGACCATCTAATGAACCAGTGCTAATGTCTGTAACAGTCACTATGGTAACAAAAGGAAATGAGAGCTGGGCACCAGTGGCTCTTGCCTGTAATCCTAGCTATTCAGGTTGCTGAGATCTAAGAAGCATGGTTTGAAGCCAGCCACATATGGAGGTGTGGCTCAAGTGGAAGAACACCAGCCTTGAGTGAAAAAGCTAAGGGACCATGGCTCAGGCCCTAAATTCAAGCACTAGTACCAAAACACACACGCACGCATGCACACATGTGTGTGCGCATGCCAACAAAAAGCACTTTCAAAACTTGCATTCTCCTAAGCGACCATTATTCCCTCTCTAGGTGTTTCTTGCTTTCAAGTATTTCTGTAATGGTTATCCAACTCCCTAACCACTCTGTGAGAGTGGAGGTGTGAGTTGTTGGCCTCCGCAGAGCAGGATTTGGTCCTATTCGTATATTCAGGTGGACAGACTAAGGTCTGACACCCAGTGTTTTGTGTCTCGCTCTGTTAAGTTACCCAAACTGACTGTGGCGTTGGCCATGTGTCTGCCTTGGAAGAGGGATGGCAGCAAAAGGACACAAGCAGAAATTCAAACACTTCTACACTAGAGCATGCCCTCTGGCTGCTCTTGGAACCCTGCCACACCACTGAAAGCCAGGGCTAGACTGCTGGAAAAGAGGACCTGTGGAGAAGCCAAGGCATCCTGCCAAGAGAAGGTTGGCCACCTCACAGCTGGCCACAGCTGCAGAGATCCCCAGATCAGCAGCCCCACCAGCTGAGCCCAGCACAATCAATAGGAAATCTGCAATACCTCTCAGTTTAGTTACAGCTACTAAGTTTCAGGGCCTTTGCTATTCAGAAGAGGCCTATTTATATAACTCCTTGAGGCTAAATCATGCTGGAAGAAAATTCATACAGGGCAGACACTCTTCTCTCCTCAAACCTTCAATCCTGTTGCTTCCCCCTGCTTTGTATTAGACATCAAATTTCCTACATCCCAGAGAAAAAGCTTTAGTTTCTAGTTCCCTGCCTCTACTTCCCTACACTGGGACTCATGGGCCACGTAGCCATTACTGAAGTGTCACATCTCCCTCCCAATGAGTTGCTCTGCTATGCAGGCTCTGCTTCCTCCTTGCCTCCATCCTATCATTCCTACAATAGCCTCTTTCTCTCCTGCTGCTCCACCGAAATGCCAGCAAAACCTTCTGCTCACCTCTCCCTGACAATCCATCATTACTCTTGTTCACATTCTCAAAAAGCTGGCAAACAATGCCAATCAAATACTTGTTTCCCCCTGCCCCCAATCTTTTTTTTCTTTCTTTTTTGGTGCTGATACTGGGGGTTGAACTCAGGGCCTGGGTGCTGTCCCTGAGCTTTGTTGTAGAAGACTGGTGCTCTACCACTTGAGCCAAAGCTCCGCTTTCTGGCTTTTTGGTAGTTAACTGGGGATAAAAGTCTCATGAACTTTTCTGCCTGTGCTGGCTTTGAACCATAATTCTAACATCTCAGTCTCCTAAGCATCTAGGTTTACAGGCAGGAGCCATTGGCCAACAGCTTCAATTCTTCCTTTCTTTTCTGATTTGTTTCTCAACTTCAGTGTGGCTTCCATCTCCTTCCTACCCCATCTCTAGTCCCCTCCATTCTTGATGGCCCAATGTCTCTTCCCCTCATTTCATCTTGAGGGCTTTCTCAAAAGACTTCTGTCTCCTGACCAACTACGTCACCATACCCTGGCCTCCTCTTGGCTCCATGCTCTGGCCTCTCAGCCTTTCCCCTGTGGCCCAGCCCCTGGATGCTGCTTTTCTCAGGATCTCAGCCTTGTCAGCCCACCCTTGATCAACAGCACAGGCACTCTGCAGCCTGGCTCCCATTGCCATGGTGCAGTTGGTGCCTCAGGTCCACACTTTCAGCACAAGCCTCTCTCCAGATGGAGTATGTGTTCCTAACCAAGCTCATCACTTAACATCGCAGTCTGCTCTTCCTCCCATGTTCTCATGTTGGAAGATGGTTCGATTCTATCAATAACTCCTCTCTTTGCTCCTTTCCCTTGAGCTCAAGTCCTGACTGGACACCACTTAAATTCAACTGCTTTTCTCCAGCTTCCCAAGCACCTCTCTGTCTACAGTCACCATCTTCACTTGCCTAGAAAACCCAGTAGCCTCCTATCTGATCTCCCCATTTTAATCTTTTTCATGGCACACCCTCTACACAGTGGCCACAGTGATGACTCACCCGTGCACACATCAAACCTGTCATGTCGCTGTTCTGTACTAAGTACACGGTACACAGGCACAGGATGATCATTGATACTTATTGAGGAAGAAGAATAAACCACAGCAATGACCAGCAGGCCTACAGTTGTACACATAAGCTGAAGATGTAAGCCCCACAAATAAACCTCAGAAAATGTTTGAGAAGTCCTGCTGGCAACTACACAATAACACCAATGTAAACAATTTCTTTCATCATCATCTTAAAATAACCACATGGTTTGCAGCAAGGTTTTGCTCTACTTCCCTGTACTCTATGCAAAACAGTTAAGTTTGTGTGTTGCAAAAGAATAAAAAAACAAGTCTGAAAACTGAATATTTACTTACGTGCAAAGAATTGACTGGTCCTCACGATCTGTAACACAGAACAGCAAAAAGAATGAGTGACTATTTGCTCCATTTGTAATAATAACTCCTATAACAGCAATAATGGATCATAAACCATTAATCAACGGTTAAGTTAAATTCTCCCCAGTCCCATTACACAGTGCTAAATCTGACCATCACTCATTATCTCCCATTATAAAGCCCGATTCTCTAGAGTAGCCAACACAGACCAGGCTCACTTCACCCTTCTTGGCCTAGCTCACTTCAGATGCCTGATGAGCCTTGCTCCTCAGACCCTGCTGCAGATCAAATGCAACTAGAAAGTTTTATAAAAACATACTTCCCAGAACACTCTCCTGGCTAATTCACTCTTAGGGATGTGAGGATCCTCTTCCAATGAGAAGACACATATATGATGATGCCTGGTCAGGTTTGGAAAACATTGATTTCAGAATGGCTTTAAGAATACCCAGTCAGAGCTGGGAAGATGGATCAGTGGTAGAACGCTTGCCTTGCATGCCTGAGGCCCTGGGTTCGATTCCTCAGCATCACATAAGCAAAAAGAAAAAAGCCGCAAGTGGCGCTATGGCTCAGGTGGTAGAGCACTAACCTCGAGCAAGAGCTGAGGAACAGTGCCCAGGCCCAGAGTTCAGGCCCCACGACCGGA